CCCTGTGATACAATGCTTGATAAGTAGGGTATGATTGGATTGATATTATTGATATCCCATATGTTTTAATGCCCTGGTGAATCTATCAAACCAAGTATTTGGAGATTGTTTGAGGCCATACAATGCCTTCTTTAATTTGTATATCTTTTGAGGATTCATTTTGAGTTCAAGTGGGACTTCTATGTACACTTCTTCCTCTAGAGCACCATTAAGAAAATTATTTTTTACATCAAGTTGATAGAGAAGCCAATCAAGATTAGATGCTAAAGAGAATAATACCCGAATTGTGTTGTGCTTTTACAACAAGAGCAAATATCTATTGATAGTCGATGCCATATGATTGGGTAAACCCTTTAGCAACAAGTCAAGTTTTGTAGCGGCTTACACTACTATCAGGATTGTACTTGGTGGTGAAGATCCACTTGCATCCACAGGAGCCTTCCCTGAAAGTAGATCAGATAATTCCCATGCCCCATTTTTCTCAAGGGCTGAAATTTCTTCTTGGATAGCAGCATTCCATTCAGGAATCTTGAGAGGTTCATGAATTGTTCTTGGTTCAGGAGGGATGCTATCAAACTTGCTCACAATTACATGATACTTCGAAGACAACTTGCCATAAGAGACATAATCTTGTATGGGATGCATAGTACAAGAAAGAACATTCTTTCGTAATGCAATAGGTAAACCAATATCATCAGTAGAGTCAGAAATCTCATTACCTGTGTTATTCTGGGTGCTTGGTTCAAGAGTTGAGTCATGACAGAGTATAAATAGTTCAAGTACTTTATCTTTATCTTAAGTTTTGTTCCTTCTTATATAGACACGTAGCGCACTAACTGCAAGTAATGTGTTATCAGTTTTTGTGATAGGTTCAAATTCTTTGGTGGTTTTAGGGACAAGATCTTTTTCTAAAGTTGTCAATAGAGTCTGTAGAGGAGGAATATTTACATCCCATAATTGATATTGCTGAGTTTCAGATATCTCCCCCTGAATATCAAGAGTGAGATAAAAAGGTTGGTTCTCAAAGAAAGTAACATTCATAGTGTTACAGAACCGGCGGGTTATTGGATAAAAACATTTGTAACCTTTTTGAGAATTAGAATACTCGACAAAAACACATTTGAGAGCTATAGGATCAAGTTTCTCTCTGAGGTGACTGTGAATGTGAACATAGGCAGAACAACCAAAGACTTTAAACGGAATTGTGTGAAGGATGTGCGATGTTGGGAAGGCTTGAAGTAGTGAATCATAAGGCATTTTAAACTTAAGGATACGGGAGGGCATTCTGTTGATCAGGTATGTGGTTGTGATGATAGCCTTTCCCCAAAAGTATTTGGAGACATTTGTGATAAACATGAGTGAGTGGGATACTTTAAGAATGTGCCTATTTTTCCTTTCGGCCGCACCATTTTGTTGAAGGATGTAGGGACAAGAACTTTGATGGACAATACATTGGCAAGAAAGGAATTTGCCTAGGTTGGATGAAAATATTCACATGCATTATCTGTTTTGAACATTTGTATTTTTGTTTGAAATTGGGTTTGAATTATATTGTTGAATTTTTGAAAGATTTTACCAATTCCATATTTTTCTTTCATCAGATAGACCCAGGTTATTATAATGTAATCATCAATAAAGGAGACAGCATTTTGTGCCAATAATATCTTTTATCCGTGCTGGTCCCCAGACATCACTATGAATCAATACAAAGGGTTTTGAGGGTTTGTAAGCAATACTGGGATATGAATTGTGAGTATGTTTAGAGAATTGACATACTTTACATTGAAATGAATTTGAATTTTTATTTTGAATAAAGTAGGAAATAGTTGTTTTAAGTACATATAGTTTGGATGTCTTAATCTATAATAGCATAATATAATAGATTCGTCAATATTATAACATCATACAGATACTGAATTAGCACATATTGCACTTGAAGTTTGTCCACTCGAATGTGAGATTTTGACTGGTAGAAGATAAAGTTCTGAGTCCTTAGCATTGACAATCATCGTCCCGGTGACCAAGTCCTGAAAAACACAAGAATCATTGTCAAATTTAACAATACAGTTCAAGTCGTTACAACCACACAGTTCAAGTCGTTACATAATTTGCTTACAGATATCAAATTTGGTGATATAGTGGTTGAGCCAAGTCCTGCAACTCTACAACTTGTTCCATCAGCAATTCTGATGGATGAGATTTTCTTACATTCACTATACCGATGAATGAGTGTAATGTCTCCGGTCATAGGATTGGACGCTCCTGAATAAATAATCCATATTTGTTTTTTCACAGAGTAAGCAGATAAACTGAGTAAGCAATTACCTCTCTGAGCAACGAAAGCATTACCGAGAATATCTTTTTGAGAAAACATTTGCATGACGGCCTCTAATTGGACTGGACTGAAGGGAGAGCTCTCGGTAGTACTGGCTGCAGGTGATAATTCTTCTGAAATTACCATGTTGCTCTGTGTGTCATTTTTGTAATTTTTCCTATTTGCTGGCTTGTCATGTAATTTCTAGCATTTATCCCTAATATGACCTGGTTTTTTGCAATAATCACACCAGTGTCTACCTTTCTTTCCTCTAGCTTTAGAAGTATGCCTGACGAAAGCAGAAGCGTGCTCGTGATTTTGGGCACCAGGCTGAGGTTCACTGAGCAGCAAGGGCAGAAGTTGTGTCCGTCGGGTTCGTACCAGAGTACCCAGTATGATCTTTCTACTCTCTTCTCGACAGACTTAAGAGAAAGCTTCTCTAAGATTCGGCAACGGCTTTGTACCCAGAATGGGATCACGAACCTCATCCAAGTTTTTATTGAGTCCCATCAAAAATTTGAAAAACCCTTTTGCGTTCAGTGTGAATTTTGAAGAGTTTTAACCCTTCGAGACAATTCCACGGGTGTTCCTCGAAGACGTCGAGTTGCTGCCAGTGCTGAGAGAGTGCATTGTAGTATTGTGTTACAGTGAGCTCCTCCTGTCACAGGTCGTGCAGCTGAGTCTCAATTTCGAAGGTGGCAGAGGTATTGTCTCGGCAGGAGTAAAACTCGCGTGCAGCCACCCAGATGTCGTGCGTGGTTTCATACAGCAATTTTTTTTTTTCAATTTCTGTCGTCATTGAGTTGACTAACCAAAATATTACTATATTATTTTCGGCCTTCCATGAACGAGCATTTGGATCATCCGCTGGTGGTTGAACAGTTTCTCCCGTAAGATATTCATCCCTGCTCTTTCCTCGAATGAACATGAGAACGGATGAAAACCTTTGAAGATAATTACTCTCATTCAGTCTGTGTCCAGTGACAAATGAAGGTGTCTGGTTAATGTGAGAATGGTTAATAGGTATTAGATTGAAGGAATCCAAGACATGATCAATGTGAGAGGAGTTTTGTTCGTCCATGGCTATTTCGGTTTGAGTTAGATGATGAAAGATTTTTGATCAGAATTGCCGCTCTGATGCCATGAAGAAAACAAGGAGGGAAGGTTAGTGTGACGAGGAAAAATCCTCTGATTTTCTTCAATATTACATGGGTTCAAATGTGCCAAATATATAGGCTTTTGGACAAGACAAAAAACGGTTAAAAGATGTTAACAAAAAGTTAAAAAATTAGTGGACAGAGCACCCAACTGTACTAACAATACCAGCTGTCCTAACCACTTGAGAAAAAACTAAGCTATTCTTAATGTAAGTATACATGTATATATACATTTCTACATATGAACATTCTACAAAAACCCTTGTGGAAAATGATCTTTTTAGCTGGATTAGGGATCATACGACTAGTGGAATCGCATGATATTTGGTGACCACTACTTGTTGTTCCAAGAATTATGGGAAAGTTTAACATTCTTGGCCACCTTATGGGCCAAAGCTTGTGAGAGTTATTCTGATATAGCCACCTCCGAACTTCGTTGGAATTGTGAGGCATTTTGTTCCTGCAGGCTGATTTTTTGTTTCGTGTTAGCTTTTTTCGTCTGTGTTCAATTTTTTTTTTGGCATTTGAAGAGGATATCTTATTTTCTGTGTATTCTTTTCATTCTATTCCTAATAATACTTCTTTTTCTATAAAACAAACGACATATAAGATTAAAAATTTTGATGTGTATTTTGCTGTCTGTACTAAGAAGAAAATGTGGATGCAGTCACTGCATTCTACATATTTACGCTTATTGAGGGATCTATTTTGTTGATATCTTGTTTTTAGGTTTTTTAAAGCCAACCAGCTCATAGGTAGGTTTATTTTTCCCCCTCTGATCACCTGTGATTACCAAGTTGTTTTCCACTCCATCTAGCACATACTTACTGAATTCTATCAAGCTTTTATGTAATGTATGAGGGGAGCATTCTAATGCCAAAGACATTCACTGCTTTCCATGGTTTACTTGATTATGTTGTTTCTTTTATTCCTAAATGCCCTAAAAAATTTGAAGGAAAATATCCTCTATGCTCTTTTTGTTCCTTGGGAACTGAAGCTAATCATGGAAATTCTTTTGAAACTGTTACTTTGGTGGATAAGACTTCTGATACGTTTTATCTTGCATGGTTATTGAAGGGGGTTTGCAGCCATCTCGTAGAAGATCTCTCTTCACCTTGGCGTCTTACATGCTTATTTTTTCAGCCAAGGCTGGCAATCTCCCAGGGCTAATTCCTATTGTTAAAGCATCATTGACCGATAATGTTAGTCTTCTTCTCACTCCAAATTCATCCTAAGTTGTTTGCTTTTGTGTAGAAAGAAATTTTCCCAGTTCAGCTTCCTCAAATGTTATATAGGCTTAATATTATCCTTCATGTAGGTTGATCCGTATCTTGAACTGGTTGAAGATGTCAGACTACAGGCAGTTGGTGTTGGGAGTGATACAAAGAACGTAGTGTATGGATCTGAGGAAGATGGCAGTGCTGCGTTGAAGTCTCTGTCAACAATAGAATCAGAGGACCGCCATTTGAAGGAAATTGTGATATCTCACTTTATGGCCAAATATGGAACGTTGTCAGAGGTGATATATCAGTTTATTTTTTGTGCTAATTTTGTTCAAAGAGCCCTTTTGTTGTAGGATTCACTTGCTTTCATGTATCTTCTATTCCAGGATGAGTTATTGAGCATAAGGAAGCAAATTCTTCAGGCCTTTTCACCTGATGATGCATATCCATTAGGTGGACCATTGTTCATGGAAACACCAAGGCCATGTTCTCCTCTTGCGCGAATGGAGTCCTTGGCTTTTGATGAGGTAAAATTTATCAACATAACATGCTATGACTAGCAATTTGTATGAGATAGTCTTATTACATTGGTGGTCTTTTTCAGGTGATGCCTTCAAATATTTTGACAGATGAAGAAGCTTTGCCTGAGTCTAGTGGAAGTCTGTCTGGCCGCAAAACATCATTGTCCATCAATACACTTGACATTTTAAGTGTCAATGAGCTTTTGGAATCAGTGAGATAAGACTTCCTTAGTATTTTATTCGCTTTTATTATAATTCTTCAACCTTTTCTTTTTCTCATTTTTGGTGGGAAGAAGGGGAAGACAAGCAATTTGGAAAGTTTAATGGCTAGGACAGGTTTGCCTGATCTCTTTCCCAATCCAAAACATTTCTTTATTGGGGCAGTGTTTGGAACAAATGACAAACTTTATTTGAAATCTAGTCTTAGTACAATTAGGAGATGATGATAATTTTATTTGAAGATGCTGAACAGTTCTCCAGTAGAATTAAAAATAATGAATTCTAAATTCCATCAATTTGATGAAATTTCTGAGATATATTACTTTAAAAATTCCACTTGAGATTCTGTAGAATGCTAATTGCTATCATTTTGGCTGAGATTTTCACCATCTATTAGTTAAATTAAAAATGAATTTTCAAATAAATTCCTCAAACAAAATTAATTTGTTCTAAAAATAGCCTTAAGTTTGTTAATTGTTTTCTGAGAGATGTTTTGACACTGAATTTACTTTAAGAGCTGATAATAATTTATAATAGATGGTTTTTTATATATCAGCGGAAGCCCTTGGCTGTTTGAATTATGTATGTCAAGCTGTGCATTCTGTATGAATAATGATTTTGATGAAATTATGATGTATGATAAGGAATGGATAGTAAAGAAACAGGTATTTAGGAGTTTGCATTTTTTTTTCTATTGCCTTGTTATGGATAGTAGAGAAACAAGTAGTTCGGGAAAATGTAAGATTCATTTAAATGGTAATAATGTTGTAACTGTGCCGAGTTTGAGATCCTGATGGCACTTATTATTAGAAATTTAACATTAAAGACTTTTTTATTTTAAATAAAAGTGTAGAAATGTATTATTCACAATGGTACAAAGGGGGTACCATCCATATGCATATTATTTACAAGTCAATAAGGTGATCAATGACATTTCCAAAATCGTCCATCCTATTAATTCCATGACCTAAAAGCATAGAGTCAAAAATGTAGATCCATCTATTTCTAATACTGCTCATCTCTCTCTCAATACCCACCCTCAAAAGTTTTAACATTTCTATCCTTCTACATAACCCAAAAGATGGAAAGAGGAATCAACAATAAATAGCATTTCTTTTTAGAAAAACCCACCCAAGCACACAACTCATTCCTATTAACATTAAAGACTCATGGGGTGAGATTATCTGAAAATACTGATTCTTCTTGGTTTCAAATTTGATGCCAAGCTTACTACGTGGACTGTCATCTCAAAAAAATAAAGAAAACATCTGAACTGTAAATATTTGTTACTAGGAGCTTGTGTTCATTAAAAAAACTGCAAATGAACTTGGGAATTCTATGGCATGTCTATGACCCTGTCAGACCATTATTCTTCTGGTCTGAGTTTAAGAACTAAACAAATGTTTAGCATTGGTATCGGATGAAAATGTGTGGCACTATCGTTACTGTTTAATCTGGAGAGCTGGCTTGTGAAGAACTGGGATTGGTCTTTTATAGTGTTCATGCCTTGACATTTTCCTTATTTTTCTTTTCTTTATTTATGAAATTCTGCTGCAGTCTTTATTATAAAGGGAAAAAAAAGAAAGGAAATTATGTGGGTGTCTCTCTTCAAAAATTTACATAGTTTTGCATGAAAATCAGGTTTTGGAAACCGCACGACAAGTTGCAAGCTTCCCTGTTTCCTCGGCGCCCATACCTTATGATGAAATGAAAAGTCAGTGTGAAGCACTTGTATCTTGTAAGCAGAAGAAGATGTCAGTGCTCCGGAGTTTCAAGCATCAACAGGAAGCCAAGGCAATAACCATCTCAGATGAAAATGAAAAGAAAGACATACCTTTACTGAACATGGTGAGTTACTTCATTTTATTGATACGAGGTGTCTAAGTCCAACTTCTTAAAGTACTAAAAGGTGCCCGAAATTTCCTGCCCTTAATGGTGAAAGAAAAAAATTCTCCCTGTGGGCATAAAACTTAGAGTATGTGATAGTTTGCCGTTTGTTGTAGATGTTGGCCTTTTTTCAGATTGACAACATTTGCCTTCTTTAATTAATCCAAAGTTGAATCAATTGATTTTACCTTTTACCTTTACATGTTTCACCAAAAATTTGAGTAAGAAGCTGAATATTATTTGTAGGTGATGCACATGTAGCGTTCCATTGGAACAGATTCTGGTCTATTAGGACATGCACAGGCTGAACTGATATTTTTTGAGTTTCCTAGTACTAGTCCCTTGTGGAGGGTTTGTATAGTTACAGAGATTTCTAACCCATTTTGTTGCATCAGAAACCTGGGGCTTGATGAGGACTCAACTAAGGTTTTTATATACATTAGTTGAGTTTTGATTTTTAGTTTCATTTTACTTGAGTAGAATTGGTTCATAACAAAGTGCAGGTGGTTTTTAGATATTGGTAGTAGGCTTTGCTGGATCTTGCAACTAAAGAACTTAGTATCCAGCTGGCAGGATATGCAAAGCAGTACAACATTGGGGAAAAAATTACAGGTTTAGAAACAGAATGCAAGGAAAGGTGGTAGACAATTAAGAGGGGCAGTCATGGTGCACCAGAAAAACAATAATCACAGAGACAAGAAACTTTAGGGGACTAGGGGAATTTTCTCCTGCCATGGGTTTTATTTTTCCTTTTTTTTTCTTTTTTAATGATGAGGACATAAAACAGGCTCATTGGTTACATTGGGGAAATAACTTCATGGGTTTGTTGTCTTTCAAGTGAAGTTTATGGACGGTGTTCTTGTTTCCTTCCTTAGTACACGCCAGAATTTAAGGCTTGTTTAGTTGTAGAAAACTATTTTAAGTTTTTATGTTTTAAATTTATTCATGATTGATAGATAAAAATATGGTTGAAAAATGAAAATAAGTTTTAGAAAATGACAATGAAAATATGAAATGAGTTTGTAAATAGCTTGTTATTCATTTTAATCTAATCACATTTCACTATTATTTTTCATTTTTTTTTCATTTTCAATAACTTGAAATTCTTTGGTGTGTAACCATATACCAACTTAGAATGAAGCAGTTTTCCACAACTAAAAGTAGCATAAATTGTTTCCGATTCGGGTTCATTAGTAGTTACGCTTCATTATGGATGGTGAAGAACATTTGCATTTTTATTGATTACCATAGCTTCATCTTTTGTTATTCATTGTTCAAGTTGAAAGGCAGTTAGAAGTTTTTGTACATGATGTGAGAGCTGTGGGCCAATAATAACTTAATGAGTGACAGAGCTATGGTCACCGATGTTTCTTGTGCTAGAAGGAGAACAAATCCGCTTGCCATTCTTTTTGGTGCCCCCATACTAGAAGGCTGTTGGGTTATGTTCTCAACTTGCTAAATAGGTGGGTGGTTAGTGGTTCTGTCAGGGATGAAATATAGTCCTGAGGCAATATTGGTGTGACCAGGTCTAGAAACAAGCTTGTGTCCTTTATCCTCCTGCTGTCTTTTAGGTTACTTGGATAGATAGAAGTAGAAGAACCTTGCTGTTTTTCGGGTTATTTGAAAGGAAAGACGTTAGTATTCTCTCTCTCTCTCTCTCTCTCTAAGCTCCATGAGAGCAGTACGCTTCTGGAGTTGAGGCTCAGCTGTGAACATTTTTAGTAAAGGGCTCAGGTGCAGATATTAGCTCTTCTGGTTGTGTTAGAGATCACTCGATCCATCCCTTTGTATTTCATTTCAAAATCACTCTTCCTGATGGAAAAAACTAGGACTCATTGATATCTTGTCTCATTTAAATTTCAAAATATTATTTAACATTTAAATTCATACTAAAATAAAAATTTATCATTTTATAGAAGTGTATCTTCTGTTATCTGAACCTGAAACCTTTAGTATTAAGGTAATTGGTACCTTTTATACATGTGTTCTGACAAATTATTTTATTTTTTTCATAACCATTCATTAACTTAGATGGATAGATAGACAGATAGATTGATAACGTATATATATTATTTTTGAGATTGATAAGGGGGAGAGTCCTAGGGATAATTGCATGCAGATATTAATAGCATGCAATGATACTGGTAATAAAACTGTGCTTGAAGATAACTCTCTCCATTGTGCCTCCTATCATTGCTCATTATTTGCGTTTTATATTCTCTGTCAGAAATCGGAGATTTCAGAAGATAACTTGAAGTTGGTAACTAAGGAACAAGTTCTAAAGCAGGATCAGTTTATTTCCTGCTCACATGAACAACGTTCTTTCAGATTACCACCTTCAAGTCCTTACGACAAATTCCTGAAAGCGGCTGGATGCTGAAGAGTTAAAACTCATGTTTTGTATGTACATGTAAATATCATAGTTACATTTGTCTTCTTCTCTTTGATTTATAATCTATTCATTCTTTCCTGCCATTTTTATTTATCATAGCATTGATTATAAACCAATTTTCAGGTTCATTAGACTTCTTTTTATGCCAGTGCGAGAAGAAGATCAACGAGAAGGAAAAATGGATTTGGGTTTGTGTGCAGAAACAGGACTATTTCCAGCATTTTTTTTTAGCAATCTTTTATTTTTTTGTTTATTATTTTTAGGACTTAATTTCTGTGAATAATGAGTTCAGTGGTGATTAATTGTAAAATCATGTTGTCTATTCAAATATATATATATATATATAGAATTGTAACATCATGTTGTTCCAATATGAAGATTACCCCTCAAATTTTCTTTGTTTTGGGCATATGTAGAAAACCCATATATGATTATATACTGAGTTAATTTACTTATTGACAGGAACCATCATAATTGTGGTGGACAAATTTTTATATATGGTGTACGTAGAGCTGCATGTTGCATGACAATATGAAAATACCTAAATACCCTTATTCTACTCTTTTTTTTTATAGTCATCATTTTTTTTTTAAATAAACTTTGTAACTTTTTAATAATTAATACCATCAGTAACATTGTGCTGGTATCATTTTTCTTATAATTAAATTATAAATTACACATGTATTTTGATTTTATCGCAATATATATATATATATGTATGTATGTATGTATTCTTTTAAGATAACATATTATCATGTGATTTGATATAATCTTGAATTTTATTAGTTCCTTAAATTTGGTTTATATAACCTTGAATTATAAGGGTTTGAATTGTTATAAGGAAATACAAAGATTGAATTGCAATAAAATTAAATTATGTTTTTCACTAATTATTACTAAAATCACAAATGACTTATGACTGCTTCTTTTCACTGCATATATAAACATGTATATATGGTAGTTTTGGGTTGATTTTTTTAATATAATCTTGCACTTAACACATCAAATTAAACCCAAATACTTATTAGCAAACTGATTGTTTGAAAGAGATTTTAGAAATTAAGAGACTTATGATTAATAAACAATTAAGAATAATATTCTTTTCTAATAATTACGTGAAATAATTTTATTTTAAAGAAAAAAAAGTTGAGTCAAATTTATTAATAAATTATAATTAAAAAATTAAATTTAATCGTCATTAATTTTTTTAATTCAAAATATAATAAATTTATCGATATTTAACTTAATTTATTAACTATAATTCTACCAATACATAAATAAATTAAGTTAACAAATTTATTAAATTTAAAAACCAAGTTTGTAGAATTTCTTTTAATTGGAAATACTATTAATATCCATACGCGGTTTTGGGCCTTTTGGGTCTGGGTTGATATCCATACGCGGCATAAACGTAATTCCAAACAGGGTGAGGGATAAAGATATACTCGCGTCCAAACGACTCATGAAAAGACAAATTTATTGAAGAACTAGGAGGATGGGAAAAATGAGAACGAAGAAAGCGAGGGAGCCCTGAAAGCCAGCTAGCAACAGCAGCCTCCCTGCAACCAACGTACATCTCCAGGTATGCTTGAATTTCATTCTTTCGATTCTTCTCGAGATTTCAACGTTTCTCTATCTTTCTTTCTGCTTGGATCTGGTTTGTACACTCTCTTTATACTCTCTTCCCTCGAGGCAAATTTATCTCTACTTAATCGTGGCAAAACTGCGAAGAATGTTTATTAATGTTGGTATAGAACTTTTCTAATACGTTTCCGATCGCGTTAGAGGCTATGAATTTTGTCCAGATTGTTCGCTTTCTGATCTCATTTCAATTTTTTAGGGTTTGTTTGAGCTTCCGTTTCCTGCACTAAATAAGTGAGTGGAGTTTTGGTTTTTGTTTCTGTTTTACTCTGTTTTCTGTATGCTTCCGAGATGAAATTGATGAGTACTTTTAAAACGGCATAGACAGATAAGAGGGAGAGAGACTCCCTCCCTTTTGTACTTGTACATGTAGTGCCTGTTGATCGACTTACGGCGTTTCATGACATTTCTTGCGCACTTTGTTAACATTGAAGAAGACGGTTTCTTGCGTGTTTTTGTTTGAAGTATAATCCTTACAGTTTGACTATTATTTGATCAGGTCTGATATAAGCTGGATTTGGTCTCAAAAGTTTGAGGACCTACCGGATGCTCTTTGAAAATGAGTTTGCGGTTTCCCTTGATTTACTCTCTCCTTTTATTGTAGGAAAAAAAAAATACAGCAGAAAAAAGTAGGAAATACAATATTTATGAATATCTATTAGTTGGGCTTTAAATTCAAGTCAAATGTAGTGAACTTGAGTTCAAACCTGGAAAACTTGAATTACATGACATGTACTCTTGGAAATTAACCATATAGTTCGGAAGGAAAATTATTAGATCAGAGTTGATAAAGATCATTCCAAATAATTGTAACTAAGATGGTTCAAGTGTGCCCCCCCAACACGCAGAGCAGGAATCATTTGACAAGTGTAAAATATATGGTATTTCATTTCTTGGTATATTGCTTTTAAAAATTATTTGGTTAGACTTGATAATCGTCATTCCAAATATAAGCTGAAATCATTTGACAAGT